AATTATCAAAAGGAGGCTGGCGAAGTAGGTGGAGCCCTGATCAAGTGGAGGACAGGGGTCCTCCTGGAAACACTGACCCCAGAATTTGACGAGAGGGGCTAGGATGGTATCAGCCTGGAAGCAGAAAAAGAGACGAGAATGGGGCTGTGGGCTCAGGAGGGAGCGTGCCGGCCAGTTAGCCCAGAACGCTGGACTGGCCTCTATGGCCAGCTTAGGGGTATTGCAGCATAAAGATCCCTGGGCCCTGGCACCCTGACATTCCAGGCTCTAAGTTTGTTTTGCTTCACCCTTTCTTCAACTACGGCTGGTAAAGTCTCTTTGAAAAGCCTCACCTCGTGGAGGACTATGGGAGCTGAATGCTGTATGGACTGCAGTATACTGTCAGGACTGCAGTATACTGTCAGGCTCAGCTGATGAGCTGAGGGAAGGGGAGGAGAGTTAACTAAGTCTGATTGGCTGAAATGCTTTTTTCCCCTCTTTCTTTCTTTCCTTCCTTCCTTTCTTTTTTTTCTTTCTTTCTTCCTTCCTCCCTTTTTTTCATTATTACAAAGGAAGAGAACTCAACTAGTAAATGTGTAACAATGAGGCTCTCTAGGGGCAAAAAAAAAAAGTATGCGCACACACACACACACACACACACACACATATACATCTTTTTAAGTTTAATTTATGTTACTAACACTCTTTTAAGCCCAGACAATCAACAAGACAATAAGTCAAGTCCTGGTTGGTAGTGGCCAGTTTCAGAGGCATGAATGCTCCAGCTGAACGTCTGAGATTAGGTGTAGCAAGAGGGTTAGAGCTGGCCCCAAGACCCCGAGAGATGGTTCCCAAAGGAGAGGAGGGAAGAGAATCTAGCTGACAATGAAGGTGATGTCAAAACATGCTTGAAAGAAAGAAAAACAAACTCAAATTACACAATCAGCAATATCAATGGTGATGGTAGACTGGCGGGCTTGGAGTCAAGAAAACTCGAGTTCGAATCCCGCCTCAGACATTTACTAGTTGTGTGACCCTGGGTAAGTTACTCAATCTCTCTGTGCCTCAGTCTCCTCATGCATAAAATGGACTCAGCAGTCTCAAATGTATCCTGTCTATAACTCCTTTGTACATGGTTGTTTGCACGCTGCCTCCCCCAATGAGGGCAGGGCCTGTCTTTTCCCTTCCTTTGTATCCCAGTGCTTAGCACATACCCAGCATGTAGTAGGTGCTTAATAAATGCCTGCTGACTGAATGTCTCTAGGGCATCGTCCAGCTCCAGATTTATGACCTCAGGCCTCTGTTTTTGAAGGATAGCACAGTATTATGAGGACAGTGTACTAGAACAATAACAATAATTGTAATTGAGGAAGACCAAATAAATCTGGGCACTAAGATGTTTTTGTAAGTGAAAAAAGAAAAGCCCCACATCAGGCTTTAATGCATTAAAGAGAAGAAAAGGAAATCCAGATCAGAAGCAAGAATGGGGAAGACGGGGATTAGGCCACCCAGGAACCAGACGCAGGCGGGGGAAAGCAAGAGAGGGATAGAATAAGGGGCCACCCCCAGCTGTTCAAGGGGTGGGTCCAGGGGAGGGTGGGTAGATAAGCAAGAAAAGGAGCTCCCCAGCAGAGCTGGGTCTAGGGTAACAATAATTATTCATTCATATGTGTCTGTGTGTATGTGTATATATGTATAGACATGTATGTAACACGTGTATGTGTGTGTGCACACATACACATGTGTATTATGACAATATATACAGAGTGTTCATATTTATCTATAATACACACATGTACATACACACTGTGAATACATACATTGTGTAGGTGTGTGAGTGTACTATATAAATGTATTACATATATGTGTGCTGTGCACAGTGTGTACATAGATACATACTTGTATAGGCATGTGTTCGTGTGTATATTATAGGCATGTGCATTGTGTACATGTATGTGCACTGTGTGCACATACTATGTGTATGTACATATATGCATTGTGTCTTGTACACACATTTATATATGGCATATTATATTCTGCATAAATTCATTTAATATGCAATAGTGGGTGTTTATCCCATCAAGTCTGGATTTATCTTGTGTGCACTGATTTACATATATTCCCTCCCCGTATTAGAATACGAGCCCTTTGAGGGCACAGACTGTTTTTTCTTTTCCTTTCCATCCCCAGGGCTTACTTAGCATAGCGCCTGGCACATAGTAAGCACTTAATAAATTCTTATTGATGGAGTAATTGGTTTGAGGCCAATCCTTTCACAGCAAATTTTATTGCTATCTTTTGGTTTTTATGCCATCCTTTCCAGATATCATTTCTTTATAGGATACACGACAATCCAAGAGGCTATATAGTAACCTAAAGGCCATGATAAACTAAAGACCACAGGATAATAATTAATAGCTAACATTCCTATAGCATTTAAGGATTGCAAAGCACACTATATATGCAGTTACCATGAACCTTCACAAAAATCCAGTGAGATAGGGGCTATCATCATCCCTATTTCACAGATGAGGAAACTGAGGCTAACACATCTATCAGGGACTTGCTCAGGATCCCACAACTAGTAAGTGTCTAAGGCAGGATTCAAACTCAGGTTTTCAGTATTCCATCCTCCTAGTCACCTATTGTTCTCAACAAGGGCTACATACAATAAGACCACATGATAATACAAAGACTCTATAACTCCAATAGCTGAAAAAATACATTTGATTGCCTAAGGAGAAGGCCTGCTACCAAGCTCAGGAGTTCTTCATCCCAGGCCTATCCTCAAAATAGTCATCCTTCTCTTTACTCCCTTGCCTATCTCCTCAACAGCCCCACACCTGCCCTCCACCCCAATCCTCTCCCTCCCTCCCCTTGACTTTCAGTTCTGGAACCACAATCCAATCAATACTGCTATCGCTATTTGAAAGGGCATATCAATCTATCCCCCTATAGTAGGGCTCCACTCTCACCATCTCTGTACCTTTTCAAACCAAAATACCCTTCCCTGAATTCCCCTGTATGTGTACATGTGTGTGTATGTGTATTTATATGTGTATGTGTGTGTCTGCTCCTATTAGAATGTAAGTTCCTCGAGGGCATGGACTGTCTCATTTTTGTATCTGTGTCAGATACAAATTTTTTTATTCATTCATTCTGAGCTCTGGTTTCCTCATTTGTAAATGCATGGGCAACAATATCTTCCCTTATACCTTAGGGACCTCAGTAGAGAGCTTTAGCAGAGGCTGGATGACTACTAATTGAGTATGCGTAGAGGGGAGGCTGTTTTGCTTTTGTCTTTGTATTCACAGACGTTAGCACTAGGCCTGGCACATTGTAGGAGTTTGTAAGTTGACTGTTTGATTATTTAGATCTAGACTGGACGAGTGGCCTCTGAAGTCCTTCCTGATGCTGGAATTCTCTGATTCCGTGTCCCCTCGGCACACAACTAGGCCATGGGGGACAATGAAGCAAGCTGGACTTAGACCCAAAAGACCTGTGTTTTGAAAGCTAGCTTAGCTTACTTAGTTAGAGTTATGTGACCATAAACAAGTCACAATCTCTCTGAGCCTTAGTTTCCCTCTCTGTAAAATAATAACAATAATAATACTTGCACCACCTAGTTGACAGAACTGCCATGAGGCACATGCTTAGTAAAAATCTACAAAGCACTATCAGAATATTGCCTTTTATTGTTTATTATTGTATTATTATCACTGTCTGCCCAACTGGACAGTAAATTGCAAAAAGGCAGAGCAGGGACCTTGTCTGCCATTCAATTCAATTCAACAAATGTAAAGTAAGCACCTACTATATACAGCCTAGTGTGCTGACTCTTGGAGAAATCCAAACAAAAGTGAAACAGTCTGTGCCCTTGAGAAATTTACTGGAAGATGGCCGGCTGAGGGTGACCAGCTCCTAGAGATCATAACACAACACAGATGAGTAAATGCAAAGATCAGTTGGCAGATGGAAGAGGCACTGACAACTGAAGGCTTCATGGAAGAGGCGGCAACTAGTCTGAGCCTTGAAGCCACATAAGGATTCTAAGGGCAGAGATGAGGAAATATGAGGAAAGAGTTATGCAAATGTACAGAAGCTGAAGATGAAAGGTCAGGGTCAGAGAACAACTAGTCCATTGTGAAGGGGGAGTTATATGAAATAAATTAGAAAAGTAAGTGGAAGCCAGGCTACAGAGAACCTTCAGTACCAGGCTGAGAACTCTGTGTTTTATCCTAGAGCTAACTGGGAGCCACTGAAGATTCTTGAGCAGGGCAATACCATAGTCAGATGTGTGACTTTAGAAATTCAATAAATACACAATAATTTCAACAAACATTTACTAAATGCCCAGAAAGGCACTGTGTGAAGTATGGATTAGACAAGAAAGAGACCAGAATCGGCAAAGTCATTGCAATAATCCAGATGACAGGTGATAAACAAGGTAGCAGCTGTATGAATGGAGGGAAAGGGATGCAAGTATGCGGAATTGCCCCTGATTCATGGTAGAATTAGCAAAGAATTACCGTAACTTCTTTAAACTTTGACTCTCATTCAACATTTAGTGCAATGCTTTGTAAAGAGTGGGCCTTAATATGTCAGTATTAAGCATATCAGTCCACAAGCATTACACACTGCTACATTTTCTCAGTCAATCAGTCAATAAACATTTATTAAGTGCTTACTGTGTTCCAGGCACTGTATTAAGCCCTGGAGATACAAAGAAAAGTAAACACATGTTTGCAGATACAGGTTTGTTTAGAACTAGGTGAACATTAAGTACCTTGGAGAGTTACAAGACAGCAAATGGACACGCTCTTTGCTTCCTAGTCCTTGTGAACTAACTCTCAAATGTCCTGCTGCTGACCAGTTTACTACTGAGTCCTAGCTCTTTGACCCATCCTCAACCACTGCCAGGCAGTCCTTGACCCAAGGCACTCATCACAGAAGACTTCTACCAACAACCTGGAAGGCCCCTTCGTGTAGGACCAGGCCACTCAGAACCATGGGGGCCTTACCATCTTCATCCGTCTGGAAGATGACCTCCTTGCCCTCTTTCCTTCCCTCGGGGTTGGCCAGGATGAGCCGCACATGGATGTTCCTGTAGGGCAGCAGGTTTTTGATGGTATAGCGGTTGGTGCCCCGTTCCATCTTCACGCACTCCCGAAAAGTCTGGTTGTGGCTGCTGCCCACGGTGTAGCGGTAGCACAAGGACACGGTGTAGGTGTGGCAGCGGGTGACATTGTAGCCAAGGGGCTCCCACTGGAGGGTCAGCTGACGAGACTGGATCTCAGAGAAGGCAAGACCCTTGGGAGCTCTCATGGGCTCTGAGGGACAAAGATGGGGCCAAAGGGCAGGAGGTAAGATGGGGAAGAATACAGGGAGAAAGGGAGGAGAGAGAACTAATCAGCCAGAAGGAAATATGGAAGCTAAGAAACTAGACCACCATGAACACAGCACCACCCCAGGGTCAAATTAAGGTGGGGAAGGCCAGTCTGAATCACTCCAAAAGAATTTCATTTCCATCCTCTACAGCATCCTCCACAGTCTCATGGAGAAGACCCTCTCAAAGGCTATGCCAGCTGAGCCCCAAGCTCGACCAGGACCAGCTGAGCTGGGAAGGCTTCAGACAGAACTCTGATGACAATCACCAAGCAGCGAGGAGGGCAATTGGTGCACATCACCAGAAGCTTGGCCACTGGCAGACATTGGTGGGGAAGGGATTGGCCCCACCAACTCACAAAGACCCTTTTCTGAGACAGGAAGTTGTGGAAACCTTTGCCAGGGAATTCCCCAACCAGGAAATCATGGGTCTTTCAAAATAGTAGGAAAAATCTCATTGATTTCAAATACCAACAGTAACTACTAACAAAGTATCAACAAATGGAGGCCTCAAAGGGACCCACTTTAAGGAATAAATAAGACTATTTGTAATTAGCACATTAACTGTCTGCAAGAAAATAGTACCGCTAAAGTTTACTATTGGTTCAAATCTCCGCCACACTTTTCTCCCAAATCTGGTTTGGATAAAACCTGAATGCATTCTATACTTGGTGTTATTTTTCAGCACATATCTTTTTTTCCCCTCTTTTCAAAAGGCTCTCACTTTCAAAATGCCATCTATCTACAAGAGTGACATATATTCAGGCCAGTAGGATACTCCTGAGTAGGTTAAGCATCCCCTCTGCAATTTTGTTGAACCCAAGACTCAACAGAGACAGTGTAGCCCAGCAGAAAGAGCACCAGATTTGGAGTCAGAAGATTTGGATTCAGATTTTACTTACTCCCTGTGAGATTTTGGGCAAATCATTTAATATCTCTGGTCCTCATTTACTCATCTGCATATGGTTTCTACCAGATCAGGTCCAGGATGCATCCTTCCCCATTTCCGCATCACTCACCTGCACACTTGGTCCTGCTGATGAGCGCAGGGCCAGGCTTTCCAGTGCCCCCTTCACCAGGCCGGGTGAGTAACACGCTGATCTCATACTCAGTGTCGGGGTCAAGGTGCCACAGCTTGTAGGTCTGCATGCTAACCGCATGCACCTCTGCCCATGGGCCCCGAGACATGCGGTATTCAATCTCCTTGCGCACAATGGGGCCATCACCAATGATGGAGTTGGTGTTGAGCTGAATGATGAGGTAGGTGGAGCCAGCCCGGAGCAACTGGGGAGGTGCGATCGGTGTGGGGGGCTCTGGGGGACAGGAGGAGGTAGGCAGGAAAGGGCAATGTGGGAGAAACCACAACCACCTCTTGCCCGTGTCCAGTACTCTAGAACCCCAAGGGGATCTAGGGGGTGCAGGGGAACATAACCCAAGAGGAGCCAAGAAGATACCCTTTGACCCTGACTCCCTCCCCCAATCATACACTGACCCTAACCCACCCAGAGGGCACCCTCCAGGCCTGACTCTCCCAGATCCCTCAGTCTGACCTAGGTCTCTCACCCTCATTCAACCCAGGGGTTCACTGACCCTTAACAATAAGCTCTGCAAAGTTGGAGACTCCTGCGCCCCGTGGTGCCTGGGACACACAGCGATAGAGATCCTGCTCCCCCCGCCCTACTTCGGGCAGCTGGAACGTGGCCAGGAAGCGGTGGTGACTGATGTGCTTCACGGAGGCAGCGGGGACCATCAAACCACCCTGGCGCTAGGGGAGAAGGAAGGCAAGCTTGGAGACCACCCTGGCCACCCAGAGCCCTGACCACCAGAAAGAAAGAGAATCTGCTGGGGGACCTGCCCACCAGGAATGAGGAGGGTGGACAATCATCCTGGGAGGAGGAAGGAGAACCCGCTGCCCTGCCCGCCAAGGAGAGAAAGAACAAGCTTCCCTAGGGTGGGGGCAGGGTGGGGAACAGGGGAAGCCTCTCACCTGCAGCAGAAACTGCTCAGCCTCCGAGGCCCGCCCCGCTGCCATGCACTGGAAAGTGGCATTCTGGCCTGCGTTGACCTCCACATCGCCCAGACGGGAGAAGTGAGGGGCCTTTGCTGGAGAGAGGGGACAGAGACACAAGGCAGCGAGGATGAGTACATAGGCAGAACAGAAGAGCCAGGCTCCCCTCCATCACCCCTGGGGCAGCCCCTTCTACATCCCACCCCACTCCACCCCAGCAACCTCTCCAAGCAGTCACGGACAGCAGGGAGGCCCCCTGGAGGACTCACCGCATGGATAGCTGAAGAGCAGAATGTCATCCAGGCCCATGTAGCCTCGGCGGTCAGCAGAGATGATGGCCTCAAACAGCACCTGGGGCAACAGGGACCCAAATACCGAGCTCATAGTCTAGGCCTCTGCCCATCCCCAGAGTTAACTCTCCCCCTCCCCTAGCCCCACCATCAATCAATTAATCATCAGACGTTTAGTAAGCATCCCCCATGTGTCAGGTACAACTCTAGGTGCTAAAGATATAAGTGCAAGAAGGGAGCAATCCCTACTCGCAAAGGGCTCCTCCCCCTCTCTCCAAAGCTTTCAGCTCCTCCTCCAACCACTATAAGCCACAGGTTTTCATTCAAATGCTTAAGTGCATAGCACTGTATTGGGATTTGAGGGTGGTACGTGCAGGTAAGTGCCCCTTCCCTGAAGGAGCTGAGGATCCTGTGCCTTTCAGTGGCCCTCCCTAGCCTCTGTTCCAACCCTTCTCTTTCCACATCTACTCCAAATCCCTTCTGCCCGCCCTGTAACCCTGAGGGGCCTGGCCTGCCACAGCCCTGACTCCGCCTAGAAGAAGGACCACCAACCCGCCTTAGAAGCCAGCCCTGAGCAGTCAACAGCATCTCCTCACCAAGGCCTGGTACAGCTTGGTGTTTAAAGACCAAGGTCTTAGGTCAGACCCTTTAAGGATGGTGAACTTTCCCCAAAGGTCACAGAATCGTAGATTTTAGAGCTGGAGAGGACCTCAGAGGTCAAGTGCAACTGCTTCATTTGACAGATGAGACCCAAGGCCCAGAGCATTAAGACACTGGCCTGAGGTCACACAGGCAGCGAGTAGAAGAGCTGAGATTTGAACCCACATCCTTTGATCCCAAATCCAGGGATTTTTCTACCACACTGCGCTAAGGATACAATCCCATTCCTCAACCACAGACTCTACTCCTAATTCGGGGCTATGCATTCTCACCCAGTCAGACTGAGCCCCAACCTCGGCCACAGACCACCCAAATCCTAGACACAGGTAAAATCTCGACTCTGGCCACAGATGGACCTCTCATGCTTGTTCCCCAACACAGCAGCCATAGCCATCTCACCTGGTACTCATTGGGCCAGAAGGTGCTGACCGCCAGTTCAGCCTGGTGCCACTGACGGCCATGAGAGCCAGACATGTTCCATACGGCACTGCCCAAGGGGCCTCCATTGACACGCACATAGACTCCCAGGGCCCCAGGACTGTGCCCATCCCGGTTATACAGGAAGTAGCTGAAGTGTAAGCAGTGGGTGTCATTCTCACTCAGGCTCTGGAAGACCACATGGGCCCGCTGACCAGCACCATGCTGGGAAGAGTTGACCATCAGGTATGAACCTAGAATGAGAAGAGTTCACGGTTTGGGGATGGGGGATACGGGAGAAAACTAAGTCGATAAACACAGTCAATCAACTTTTATTAAGTACCTACTATGTACCAGGCATTGTGTTAAGTACTGGGGAGCTAAGGAGGCTTCAGGGAGACAGGGATTGGGGGGCCATAGAGGAGAAACAAAGAGAGTCGGAGGAAGCCAAGGAAGAAAGAGGCAAGGGGAAATGCTGACAGGATGAGACAAGAACCAGAGGATTTCTGTATATTTTGGCAATAAACCATCGGCTCTTAGATTTAAACTGGGAGGGATCTAAGAGATTGCTAGCATTCATGTACTAGCCAGCTACTTAAGGTTTACAAAATGCCATACACGGTATTCATTACCTCATTTGTTTTGATCCCCATGACCCTGTGAGATAGATGTTATTATCCCCATTCTACAAGAGACGAAACTGAGGCTGAGAACTTAATGACTTGCCCAGTGTCACACAGATGGTAAGTCATTGAGGCAGGATTTGAACCCAGACCTTGTGGGCCCCTGGTCCAGCCGTCTATCCACAGCTCTACCTAACTGGATCATTGAATCCAACCCCTCATTTGACAGATGAGAGAAATGGAGGCCCAGAGAGTATCAGAGGTTAACCAAGGTTACACAGACTCTATGTGGCAGGCCTGGAATTCTAACTTCAGTCTCTCTATTCCCAACCCAGCACTTTTCCCACTGAATCAAGCTGCCTCTCACAACCCCAACTATGCCTATGAGCTTCTTCATTTTGAACCACCTAGAGCAGGTGATTTCTGCTCAAGCAGGGTCAGACTGAAGCAGTCTTACAAGGCTGTGAGCCAGAGGTCCTAGTTCTGCGATATTAAAAGACAAGCCCTTCCTTGGGAGATCCCAGAGGGACAGGCCCACCCCTCTAGAGTATGGCCTTTAGTGCTGAAATGAGGTCAACAAGGGAGGCCCCAACTGGGCCCGGGATAGGAGAAATGATCTGAGGACAAGGAGCCATAGCTCCTTGGAGTGAAGCCAGAGGGGAGCAGGAGGTGATCGGTGGCTGAGGAAGCCACCCAGGAGGGAAGAGGCGAGTGGCAAGGGGCCAAAAGTCAGAGCTATCCCAGTTGACTCCTGGGCTTGGAAGACTTCCAACAAAAACTCATTTTCATCTCAGCCCCTGTACCTCCAGAGTTCAGGGCTCCCCTGAGACACCCCTGGAAGGGAATTTCATTCATCTCTCCAAGGCCAGGACTACAGAGTCAGGAGGGAAGTGGGCAGGGCTGAGATTTTTATTTTTTTAAACAATCTCATACTCTTCTCCTTTTATGAGCCCATAGACTTCCTCTCTACTATCTAGCCCCTAACCCAAGAACCAGGCTATCCCTCTCCCCTTCTCTCCTCCTACTCTTCTCCTCTCTATAAGAAGTCAGCCCTTCCTGTCTCTAGCTCCTTCTCTTCCTGATTCATCAGAGTCCTAGGCTCTAATCCCAGTGTCACCAATGGCCCCCTGCCTTTTCTTCCCACCCTGCTTTGACCCTCCCTGACTCTGGTCACTGAAGCATTAGGGAACACAGACTCATGCTCTGCCTTCCTCTGGCTATTCTAGGGGTATAACTTATCTTCCCAACAGGCTAAAATTCAAGGATGGGGAACCTGTGGCCTCAAGGCCACATGTGGCCCTCTAGGTCCTCAAGTGCAGCCCTTTGTATCCAAACTTCACAAAACAAATCCCCTTAATAAAAGGATCTAGCTGCTAGATACTCCCTGGGGAGAGAATTTGGGGATCCCTAACCCTACCCCTAATGAGGATGGAAGAGGAAGAAGAAGGGTGGGGTGTTAACAGGCTACCAGTGCCAGCCAAGACAGGCTCCAATCTGGGAGGGGAAAGGTAGCAGGAGCAGAAGAAAAGAGAGAAAGGAATTCCCCATAAAGAGATGAGAAAATGGTTCCCCCACTTCCTTGCAGAGGTGAGGAGCTATGAATGTTGAACATGCATATACTGTCACACTCAGTTAATCGGTTGGTTAGTTTTACTGAAGTGCTTTACACACACACACACACACACACACACACACGCACACACACACACACACACATCCTTTCTTTTCTATCCCTTGTTACAAGGGATGGCTCCTTCCGTAGAGAAGGGAGGGATATATTTGGAAATGATGGCAATGTGAAAACAAAAGATATCAAGAAAAAAATGTTAAAAGAAAAAAAGAGGGCCCAAATTATTTTCAGGAGGAAGAAAAGGCTGCCTAATCAGACTCCAAGCCTCCACAATTGTGAGCTTCTGGGAAAAGGAGAAGGAGAGACAAGGAAGGAGAGAGACAGGGAGAGAAAGCATTGCAGAAAGTTATAAAATACAGCATGATAGAGCGGAGAAGATTCCCAGAACAGGAGTCAGAAGACTCGGGTTCTATTCCCAATCATGCCACTGCCTATACTGTGTGGCTCTAGGTAACTCAAGTCCCCCAATCTGGGTCATCTATTTAAATAAGGAAATTAGACTGGCATAATACTACACTAGACTAGACTACCTGACCTTTGAGGGCATTTCCAATTCTGAAGTTCTATGATGCTTTCTGACATTACTGGACAGACATCTGAGGCTTGCTGTGTGTAGTGAGTGGGTCTCTGGGGAAGTCAGAATGCAACAGGGCACCAGAGCATAAGGACCCTGACAAAATGGAGGGAGCCAGAGGCAGGGCAACCAAGATGGCAAAGGACCTTGAGGCCATGCCAAATGAGGATTTGTTAGGAGAAGGGAAGGCTCAGGGAGGGCACGATATCTTTGTTCAGCTATCTAAAGGGCCAGTAGGTGGAAAGATTAGACTTGTTCTCCTTGGTGCTAGAGTAGAGAAACAATGGGTAGATGATGCAAAGAGGCCAGTGTAGGCTTGATGTGCAGAAAACATTCCTCCCAATGAAAGCTGTGCCAAAGTGGATTGACTGCCCCAAGAGGAAGGGTGGGAGTGGTTCACCCCCCTTGCAGGTCTTCAGGCAGAGGCTGAATGACCACTTGTCAGGTACCCTATTGTGGGGATTCCTTTCAGCTATGGTTTGACAAGATGGCCTCAGAGAAGGCTTAACAGCTCTAAATTCTGTGACATAGCCATAGCAGACTGGAGTGAGGGCTGAGCACCAAACTTTGCCCTGGAGAGGTTGCTAAAGATTCTATCTCAGAATGTGGAGAGAAGCCAACAGGACTAGTCATCACATCCATTCTCCACCGAGGCCATCAAATTCTGATTAGACCTAGGCCTGAGTAGAACCTGGGGCTGAGTGACTCATCCTCTCAAGCACCTGAAGAAAGACATAGAGATGGCAACTGTGCCTTCCCCTTCGAAAAGTGGGGGAGGTCATGCTGAGGTCAGGCACACAACCTATGAGATAGATAAAGAAAGCATTTATCAAGCATTTACTGTGTGCCAAGAACTGTGCTAAATGCTGAAGATACAAATATTAGTAAGTAAGACTGTCCCTGAGCTCAAAGAACTTACATTCTAATGGGGGAAAACAACACATAAGGACTATGAGTCCAGGCACTAGGGAGGAGGGAATAGGGATCAGAATTTGAGCAGAAAACATTGCATGTTGGGGAAGTATAGAAGGGAGGGAAGCCCTCGGGGAGTGGGGACTGGGAGGCCCAAAAAAGAGAACAGCCACTGAAGGAAACAGGGTAGAGGCTTATGGACGACTTAGAGGCAATGAGGGAGGAGGAGGAGGAGAGGTATGAGAAGTTCCTGGCCCTGATCATCACGGAGCAGGACTAAGAAGGGAGTGGTAAATGAAGGAGATCATGGATATAGAGCTGGAAAGAACCTTAAGGATCACCTAGTCCAAATCCGTCATGAAATAGATGAAGAAACTGAAGCTCAGAGAAATAAAGTCATTTGCCTAATGTCACACAGGTAGGCAATATGTCTCCCATCTTCAGTGCTCTTTCCACTACACCACAATGAATCTGCCTGTTGGAAAAGGTCCATGGAAGGGCCAAGGGAAGAAATGGAGAAGGCTCACAGCGGGGCAGGAAGGAAGCAGAATCAGGAAAGGTTCACAGCAGAGCATTTGGGGCAGGACAGGGGGGCAATCAGGGAAGATTTGCTGTGGGGCAAGGAAAGATCCAGAAAAGCTCCCCAGTGGAGAAACAAAGTAAGCTTACTCTGGGGCAGAGAAGGGAGATTAGGAGAGGATCACTGTGGGATAGGAAGGAAGATTAGAGAAGGTTCAGTGCAGGACAGGGAAGAGGATCAGAGAAAAGGCAAGGGAGCAAGGAAGGGGGAATCTGGGGAACTTCACTGTGGGACAGGAAATGAAGAAGGTCAGAGAAAGCTCACTGTAAGGCAAGTGTAATGGGAGTCATTCCACCCATAGACAAATATCCTCTTCCTGCTTCCAGGGGGACCATGTGGGATTTCTCAGGGGCTGGCTTCTGACCATGTACAACTCATCACTGAATTCAGTCCCATAATTCACTGCTGAGCCAGAACTCTGAGTATGCTAAGGCGGTGCCCTGAGACTTGGCCCTTTCTCTTCCTTCCATTGTGTCTAGGCAAGCTAGTGCCTTTTATATCTTCATGACTTTGGTACAGGGCCTTGTGAAAACTCAAAAGGCCCAGAAGTGTTTTGGTCATAGTGGCAACATCTGCCACTGGTAAGGGGACAGAAGTGGCATTCCCCTGGAGCAGCAAAGTCTGTCACCAAAGGGGAAGTGCTCGCACTGGGAAACTTGACCACCACCAAGACAAATGCCTAAGCAGAAGAAAGAGTGAGATGGCACCAAGGGAGGGGTTGGCATCAGACAATGTAACATGGCTAATCAGTAGTCTTGTAAAACCTATTTATGTACAAATGGGTCTTGAATGTTGACTACTAGCTAACTACACTAGCAGTAACAAGCAAGCTACAAAGTTCTATTCTGATCATTCAGTAATGCACACTAAGATTCTCCTTTGCTTATCAAGGCTTTCTTTAAATAGGAACAAATCATCTATACTGTACTGGATTCAAATTTGCATATTGAGCACCTCTTTTATTTCATCCCTCTTGGAGAAACTTTAGACTAGACCCAAAATAGAATTGTGCCCAGATTAGCCAGGGTAAGAGGTGATAAGGCAATGAATGTGAGAGTGGGGAATGCAGTTTCCTGAGGAGAAAGTCAGGCTGCCCTAGCAATAAACTTGATACTACCCAACTGCATGGTTATGTTACAGGGGCAGATACCCTGAGCCTTTAGGAGTCTCTGTAGTGGTTGCATCTAACTTCTATGTTAGATAAGAAAGGAAGAGGTTCGGGAAAGGTTCAGTATTGGGAGAGAGTAAAAGAAGGTTCTCTATAGGGCAGGGAAGAGGGGAGAGCAGAAAATGGCTCACCTCAATGCTGGGAAATAATCCAACTACTTTGGATTTCAATTTTGAATTATGTGAGAAAAGTAACTAAACTACCTACACCCTTTAACTGAGTAACCCCCCCAGGTATATATCTCATGAAAGTCAAAGGAAAAAAAGTTCCCATATATGCCAAAATATTCATAACAGCAAAGAACTAGAAACAAAGTGGTTGTCCATTGATTGGGCTGAACCGATGGTGGCACACAAATGTAATAAAATTCTGAGAAACATGAAAAGATTTGTATGAACTAGTACAAAGAAAATAAGCAGAATCATGAGAACAATTTACACAATGACAGCAACATAAATGAGGAATGCACCAAAAGGAATCATACTGTGAATAACAGAAAAACGAGTAAAGATCCTAGGGAAGAGACAACAAAGGATATATCCTCTCCCAAGACCAAGAGATGAAAGACAACTAGGAGAGATGTTGTCAGACAAGGTTTTTGTATAAGGTGTTTTTGCTTCATTGTTTTCCTTTGTCACAAAAAAAAAAAAGTTCAATCTGGAGGTGAAGGTGAGATGTAACTGTGATATAAAGACATTAGGCATCAATAAAGCATTTTTTTAAAGAAAGGAAGAAAAGGGCTCACCATGAGGCAGGTCTGGCGGGAAGCGGGGGCCAGCATCATTTCGCACTTGCTCCCACTGGAAATCATCATACTGGGCCTGACTATATTCACATGGTGCCACTGGGTCTCCATCCTCGTCGAAAGAGCAGCCAGCTGTGGGAACAGGAAAGTTAATTTATCTCAAATCTATCCTGGGGTCACCCTCCAGCTTACTGGTGGGACAAATTACTAGATTACTCCAAGGTAGCTCCTACATCACCTCCCACCAAAGAGATCTATAGAAACCAAACTTCAAGTGGGAGGTCAGATTGGGGAAGGGGGCATTGAGGGAGGGGAGGTTAAAGAAAAGGCTGGGGATAGGATTGGGGCTGCTATGTTGGAGTCCCCACCCCTGGACTAAAACCACAGAACATCTTGTGTTTCCTAATTCAGGAGCCAATCCACCCACAGTGTATAATCTGATGTGGACACGCACACACACTCAACACATACCACACACATAACTAGAGATATAAAATCTGCATGTTTGAGGCTATTTACAGAACTCTAGGAGGGAAGCATCAAAATGTTTGCATCACTTATGTGTTTTAGCACAATAGCATTGAATCATGCTATCTTGGAGTTGGAAGGGACCTCAGAGGGACCTCAGAGTCTGTCCAGCCAAAACCTGCAAGAAATCTCTCCAACAAATCTCATTTATTCATTTAAGAAACATTTGTTGAGAACCTAGGAGTGCTAGGCATTGTTCTAGATTGGGGTGGGGAACCTGTGGCCTCAAGGCCACATGTGGCCCTCTAGGTGCTCAAGTGCAGCCCTTTGACTGAATCCAAACTTCACAGAACAAATTCCCTTAATAAAAGGATTTGTTCTATAAAAGTTGGACTCAGTCAGAAGGCTGCACCCAAGGAAATAGAAGGCCACATGTGGCCTTGAGGCCGTAGGTTCCCCACCTCTGTTCTAGATGCTAAGGATACAAAGACAAAAGAATAAAACTATCTCTGCCCTCAAGAAGCTAACATTGCAGGAGCAAGATTAAAAGGTATAGAAATAAGTAAATGCAAAATAAAGTCATACAATGTAATTTCAAAAAGAAAGACATACTAGTGCTTGCTTCAACAGCACATATACTAAAATTGGAATGATACAAAGAAGATTAGCATGGCCCCTGTGTAAGGATGATACGCAAATTCGTGAAGCGTTTCATATTTTTATAGAAATCTATCCTGCCTTGAAGTAAAATTAAAGGGGAAGGGGATAAGAGAAGAAGCAGGGAGAGATAGAAGGGAGGGCAGATTAGGAGAATGGGTATTCAGAATGCATGCCATCTTGGGGTGGGGGAGGGGGAAAATTAAGTTTAATTTAAAAAAAGAAAAAGAAATGTATTATCACCAAAAAAAAAAAAAAGAAGAGAAAAGAAAGACATACTGATCACTAAGGGAATTGGAAAAGACCTCATGCAAAAGGTGGCACCTATAATATGATTAAAAAAAAAAAGAAAGGAAGGAATTTTACAAGGTGGAGGTGAGAAGAAAGAATATTCCAAGCATGGGGGATCACCTATGCAAATGCACAGAGGTGGAAGATTTCATTATGGGAAATAGGTAACTGGGCAATTTGACTAGAATGGAGAGTATAGGGAGAAGAGTAATAGGAAATAAGACTTTTTTCTGATATTAATATACATGAAATGATTGGTTACCAATGTGGAGGTCATTTCTGAATCAGTTGTCTATATAAAGCCAGATCAATGACTTGTTCGTCCAAGATCAGTACCAATTAGAAGAAAGCGTAAAAATGAGAAGCTATTGAACACAACTGAAGCAACATCAACCTGTTCTAGTTCACCAAGCTGTCAATCCCCCAAAATGGGAAATGGATTAACAGACATGGACACAGATTACGGCCATTTCCTAAGAAGGTTAATCATCACAGTATGGAGACCAGGAGAGCCTCAAAAACCCTCATCCCTAAAGACACTTGATCACCTTGCTAAGCATGAGATATGACAGCCAAGAAAGACACTGTTTTAGAATGAAAACTCCTTTTGTAAAATCTTATTTAAAAAAGAAAAGGATTACAATCAGTCTCACTGCATTAAACAGTGAAAAGCAGTAGAAGAAGGAAAAACACATTTACAGAAAGGTGAGAGGGGTCCAACTAAGACAGATCACACTGAGGACATTTAAGTATGAAACTGGATGGAGGACAATGAACAGATCAAAGAAAGGCTAAGATCTATAAAAAATGTCTATACCAAACTCTTTTTCTCTATCAATGACAGTGGAGCTACCACCTTTGTATTCCAACATCATAGTCCCCAGTGTTCTGCATGAGGCAGTAAAAATGGCACTGAAGGGAGGGAAAATCATAGGCCTTATTCCAACCAAAAAAAAAAAAAGTCAGTTGAGGCAACAGTGACAATTACTAACCTACACGCCTGGTTTCCCAGCTATAAAAAATCTGTATGAGAATATTCTACAAATAATCTACATGCACATTGAGGGCATGTGATGAAGATAAGAGGAAGGAACAGGAAGGTTTTTACAAATGTTATTCAACAGCAGAGCAAATCCTTATAATCACACAAGTGACTAAAAGGTAGAAATAGTACAAGATGCTCCTGTGCTTACTGTTCATTGACAACGTAAAAGAATTGTATTTGGTAGCACAAAGACTACCTTAAAAACTCTCCTATAACAAGATATCTTCCATGCACAAGTCAAAATCATACAAAATTCCTTCAAAGATCTAACAACAGAAATAACTTCATTCAATGACACTCTGGTTATGAATGGCATAAAGCTGCTTCAAGCATTAGTCTCTATGTTGCAGAACAAGGTGCCAGCCTGTATTGGTGGAGGTAATTTCTTCACCGGGAGTTCTTTACACCAATAAAATCACAGTGGCAGATGAAAAGGGGAGGGAGAGGCCCATGCCAGTGAGACATATGTATACCAAAGGTATGTGTCACTGTCATGGAGGATGTCCCAGATGCTGTTGTTTACAGATGACACTGTACTGATTGCATCAAGCCCTAGAACGTTTCAGAGTTTCCTAATAAGGCCTATTACCACTGAAAAGAGTTTTACCTTACAATCCACACTGGGTAAACCAAGTGGATGAGGAATACTGATAATCCAGACTATTGATGTGCTGTCAGATGAATATCCCATAGAGTTGGTCCATCTATACATAAATCTTAGACAGACACTGCAGATGGACAATGAGGTGGGTTCAAAGTTGATTCAAAGGAGGAGACTAGGCTAGATTTACCTTGTGAAATTGTGCAATGCTTTTAAAGACCCCTAAGGTCCTTCTGGAAACAAAGCCTATCAGTATTCTTCTATTGATCCTATCTGTCTATGAGTCATGGATCAGTCTCTGAAAATTTAGCCTTGGAGATCATCCAAATGGCAATGAAAAGGTACCTAAGAAATCTCAGTAGAATGCAACACATAATCATTGAAGTACTGCTCAGGTGAATTGATAAAAAGAATATCATCAGAGAGATGCATCATATGAAAAGGGAGTAGACCAGCCCTGTCACACAAATGAGGCATAACCAATGGGGAAAAGCTCACATATTCTACTGGTATCTACGTAATGTCAAGATCTCCAAGAACTTGAGAAGAAGGTGAAAGTGCTAAGTGGTTTATGATTTACATGATTGGAAGAAAGCACACATATCAATGCCATCATAGATTCAGGCCAGGTTCTTGACTGTTGGGCTCTTTTTTGGATCCTGACTATTATCCAGTGTCTTAATTATACTTTCCTAATTCTCATCATCTGTAAATTTGATAAGCATACCATTTATCGCATAATCCAAATCACTGATGAAAATGTTAAATAGCAGAATACCAATGACCTTGAAATGCTCCACCAGAGATCTCCCTCCAAGTTGACATCAAACCATTAATGGCTACTATTTGCATGTAGCCAATCAACCATTTCTGAATATGCAAAACTGTATAATCATCTAACTCAATTTTGTCCATATTTCCCACAAAAGTATCATGAAAGACTTCATCAAATCCTTCGCTAAAAGTCTATATTGTATATACATATATACATATATACATATATAGTGTGTGTATATACATGTGTGTATTACAAATATATATAGTATATATAGAGAGAGAGAGAGAGGAAGGGGAGAGAGAGAGAGAGAGAGAGAGAGAGAGAGAAAGAGAGAGAGAGAGAGAGAGAGAGAAGTCATTCTTTGTGATCACCACCTTCTTTTCTACATATTCACTAACCATCCCTTTAATAATAGACTCTAGAATTTTACCAAGAATCAAATTCACTAGTCAATAGTAGTAGGCTACATTCTCTTCTTTTCTGAAAATCAGGCCTTCTCCAGTTTTGTAATACCTCTTGAGTTCATTACAATCCTCATTACAGTCTTTCAAATATTACTACTGGGAAAGGGAATGGTACGGAGAAAAAAAATCCATTTTTGGTACAGTGGATAGAGCACTGGCCCTGGATTCAGGAGGACCTGAATTCAAATGCAGCCTCAGACCCATAATACTTACTAGCTGTGCGACTCTAGGCAAGTCACTTAACCCCAATTGCTTCACCAAAAAAAAAAAAAATCCATTTTTGTTTATTGAAACAATAATTTAATTTTTTAAAAATATTATAGACTTGTACAAACCACAGATTTGACTTGAGAATGACTCAATAGTCACATCCATTAGTTCTTTCAATGGATCAATCAATGAGCATTTATTAAGCACTTCCTATGTGCCAGGCACTGTACTAAATGATGAGGATACAAAGAAAGTCAAAAATAGAATGCCTTAAGGAGCTCTTATTCTAAACTGTGTTTCTGATCAGCCATTTTTCAATCACGTCTGACTCTTCATGACCCCATTTGGGGTTTCCTTGGCAGAGCTACTAGAGTGGTTTGCCATTTCCTTCTCCAGCTCATTTTACAGATGAGGAAACTGAGGCAAGCAGGGGTAAGTAACTTACCCAGGGTCACACAGCTAGTAAGTGTCTGAGGGCAGATTTGAACTCAAGTCTTCCTGACTCCAGACTCAGCACTCTATCCACTGTGCCACCTCGCTACCCTAAAACTTTTAATTGCTGTAGGGATTGTTGTTGTTGAGTCATTTCAGTCATGTCTAACTCTTCATGGCCCCATT